TATCCGGCTCATAGTGAAATCTTTTATAAAAATGAAATTCTCCACTATAGGGTTTCCTCTAAAACTAAATTTATGGACAAAGAACACCCACTGATTTTTCCTTTGCTGAATATGAAAGCTGAGGGAAAAGAAAAAAGAGGCAGAGGAAGATGTGTGCTGACTGGGGAGATGATGAATTTTGGAGGGAACAACAAGCCTCTAACAGGAAAGTAAGTTCCTTCCGTGGGGAGTGTAATGATAACCCCACCTTTTCTCCATGAAATCTGAAGTCAAATGTCAGTTTCTCATTTAAAAAAAAAAAAAGCTTATGCTCAGAATTACAACCCTCATCCTCCACGCGTTAAAAAAATAGAAGTCAATTTAATTCAACCAGCTTCGTGATCTAATCATTAGTCAGAGATGAAGGTGGTTTTCCATTAAAGTGTCTCCATCACTCTCACTTTCTGACCTGCAAACGTTCTTATTAGCTGCCTTATTAAGATGATATCCTGTCTCTGAAGTAAGAAAAGAAGATTATCTCTTTACCTGACATGTCATTGTCGAAGTAATCTTTGTTAAAAAAAAAAAGAGAGAGAGAGAGAGAGCTGTTAAATAGACATTTAAATTTATAGCCCTTGGTGTCATAGGAGGACATTTATGATGGGACGAACGTGATGGAACCTCAGTCACTTCCTCCACTAGGACCAGCAAAGCAAGCTAGAAACAAATTGCTGTCTGCTTAAGCTTAGGTTGGTATTAACTGGAGTCAAGACTTTTTTTTCCCTGATTCAACAACTTTAGTATGTTTTTAAGTTAGTGTTCCACTGCTTTTATAGCTACCCCTTTATGCTTTAAAATTTAGTAAAACAAAATATATATTGTGTTGTGAGTCAGCAATCATTGTGTTAAAACAAAACTCTGGCATTCTTGATATTATACCAGAGGAAATGCTGTCTTCATTTGTTAGGGACTTTAACTTACTGAGGCTATTTTTTTTTCTTCTTTGAAATAGCAGTTTATTTCACTTCTGTTGGCTAAATAGCTAGTGGGCTTCCATGGTGGCTCAGATGGTAAAGAATCTCCCTGCAATGCAGGAGCTACAGGAGACACAGGTTCAATCCCTGGTTCGGGCAGATCCCCTGTAGAAGGGCATGGCATCCCACTCTAGTATTCTTGCCTGGAGAATCCCATGGACAGAGGAGCCTGGTGGGCTACAGTCCATGGGGTCGCAAAGAGCTGGACACGACTGAAGCGACTAAGCACGCATGCACTGCCTGCAATGCAGGAGACCAAGGTTCAATCCCTGGGTTGGGAAGATTCCCCTGGAGATGGAAATGGCAAACCACTCCAGTATTCTTGTCTTGGAGAATCCCACGGACAGAGGAGCCTATAGGCCATGGATTCACAAGAGTTGGACACGACTGAGCGACTAAACCTAACCTAAACTAACCTAACCTAAATAGCTAGAAATGGGATTTCTGAATCTTACGGTAGTTCTATTCCTTTTAACTGTTAATTTTATATTAAAGTATAGTTGATTAAGACTGGGTTTTAAGGACACAAGCGACGCATGAAGATAAGCTGTTAAATGTAGAATTCCGTATGCATTTCACACTTCCTGCATGTACCTCTCATGTGCATACGCAAACACTCTACTTCCTAGTGGCAGCTCTGGGAGGGGGAAATCAGCCCTTTGGGATAAGTCACAGCCTCTGGGGCCTGGCCTCTTCTTCCCTCTGGCCTCTTGTTCGGACTTATGCTGGTGACTCATGGTTCAGACAGGCGGTGGTCAGCAAGCTTTGCTTATTTTCTGCTCATTTTCAGAAAGGGTTTGCAGTAGAACCAAAGGCTCTCACTCAACAACCAAAATTCATTTGGCTTACTGACTCAGAATTGATAGATTAAAAAAAGAATGGATAGATCTGACTTCCTTGACAGAAAACCTGAGAAGCCTGGGTTGATATCGCTTCCCTTTTAGCGAGGCAGCCTGACAGTAGTAGGGTGCATGCACCCCTGAGCTGTTGCTGGTCTACCTGACCCCAGGGAGAGGAGGTGGGTATGGTGACTAGGTTATATAGACTATCCATACATTACATAATGTTGTCTTTATAATGGATAATTACACATACATATTTATAGACTTTCTATAGTCTTAATGGGCTTAGATAGGTGGTAACAGTGGGACCATCTTTTTTGAAGAACTGTTGAGTGACTGCACCTTGATCTTCAGCTTTGTGGGTGCCTTGAGGTTGACATTCACCCCCATTCAAGACTCAGGACTTCTTGTGAACATGTTCTTCCACCAGTCCCAGCAAATCCTTGTGGGATGGCCTGGAGTAGAGGCCAGTTCATTTTTAGACAAGATGGCATCACAGGCATATTCTCATTTCTGTGCTGACCCATATCCATTCCTCCTCCTCTTCTCCATGCAGCTCCAATTGTCAGTCCTAATCTACAAATCTTCTGTGATTTGGGCCCCCGTAACATTCACTACTGCCTCTCCTGTTCTGCTTCTCACTGTCAGTTGAGATAAATAACCTGTGAGTTTTGGCATTTGCAGCAGGCCTCCTGGTCAGTGAGAAAATTAACAAATCTGTCCATCTTTCTCTCTCCTCCTTTCCCACACCTTGTAGGCATATAAGAACCAAAGATGTGTTATCTATTATCTTGGCTTGCTATACACCTCTCGTCACTAATCCTGAGGTGACAGAATTTGGATTTAGTGTCAAGATGAGGGTAGCTATGACAACCAGCTGATACTTGGCCCTCCATGGGAGGGTATTTTGAACAGGTCTTTGCAAAGCCTGCCTTTTGGACAAGGACCTACTCAGGGATCTAGTACCCTTTGTGCCTTCAAAGCACCATACAAATATTAACTAGTGTCCTTCTGGAAGAAAGAGCAAAGTCTCATTGTGTAATTTGGGAAGTAAGAACTGGATTAATTGAAAGTGGGCTTGAATTTGGACTTCTCTCTGAGCTCCACGTATACATGGCTAGGACTCAGTCAGAACATTCAGCCTGTCTAAATGGTCCATAGAGCAAAGGCCAGTGGTGGAACTCTTACTAACACATTGCTCTCTACAATTATTCTTTTATCTATTCTAGTGTATCATCGGCTCCTTCCATTCAGAATTTCCCAGCTACTCTGGGCAGCCCAGGCCTTCCAGTGGACTCATTAATTAGGTCCTTCTCTTTTCCCGGTCCCCTCTCTCCTCAGGTGTTCAAATAAACAATCAATCATCCATTTCCATGTTTGCACAGATAGAGATGGGGAAACTTTCAACTTTCTCTAAATATAGGGGGGAAAAAATCACAACTGCTAATAGACTTTTAAAAAACCCAGCTAGGAGAATTTTCACAGGAATACTAAAGAAACACAGAGAACAGGAAGAAATATGCCTTTTATTAGAAGTCTCGTATGTACAGGAAAGCTGTTCCTCACAGCACAGGTGAGGCTGTGAGGAAGAGCCGCTGTCATCAGAGGTCACCACGCTTGCGCCGGTCACATCATTTCAACATCGCCACGCTCCGTGAACAAACAGAACCATTACACAGAGATGCAAAAAGAGACGCAGGTACAGGGACGGACCCCTCACATATTTTCTAAAAACAGGTGGACACAAAAATACAATGTGCCAGTAAAAAAAAAAATAGGCATATCAGTACATCTTTTTTTTTTTTTCTTTTTGTTAACACACGATATGCTGAGCTTTCATCTCAAGGTTTTTTCACGTCGGGATTTGCAGGCACTTTAGCAATCCAGCCATGGTTTACAACAGGATTCAGACCAACAGATGAGAAGATGGAAAGACGGGAGCAACCCAGGTCCTCATGACCCACATGTATGTTAACGTAGTAACACAAGGACGATCTTTTGTTGTCACTGTTTGGGGACACCAGAACGTCCTGTGGGATGTGGGACGACTGTCCTCTTACTTGCCTTTTCTGTTTCATGGTAGAACTCTCTAGAAGCCTGATGGCATCACCAGGCAGGGAGATGGCAGGTGGATGAAGAGACAAACATTGATTCCAATCGACTTTAAAAGCCGGAGACAGCAGGTGAGATTTTGGAATCCCAAAATGAGTGTCTGCCTGATCTTTGTCCCATGCTATGCCCTTCTTGCCAATTCATCAAATAAAAACCAATTAAAAGGATGACTGGAAGGTACTGGGCCAGACGCTCATCCTGGGAGAATTCTTTCTCCAGCTATCGCCCCTCCATGTCGTGACACACACCGGGTCGGTGGGCGAGCGGCCCCCTGCCCCACCGGGGCTGATGCCCGTCTCCCATGTTCTCCCCGCAGAGCTGTGATGACTCAACACATGCGTGAGCAAATAGGAGTACACGAGGGTATTTATAAATGCAGACAGAATGATCACATCACTGGTAACACTGAGTTATAAGGCAGTTACAAAAGGACCCCCCTGATAACCAGACAGTGTTGGAATATGGCTTAGCTTCTTTTAGATGAAGGAAGTTCCCATTACAAGGAGCTGAGAAAGAAAAGGGAAACCATACTGGTCACAAAGGGTTAAAAATGACTGTGCTGGGAAGTACCACAGAGCCCCGATTTCTGGTGTATGTCACCCACTTTCATTCACCAGAGATGGAGATGTCACCTCATCTGAGAAACTCAAAGGGGAAAAAAAAAGAGGGATCAGCATCACCTGTGACTTCAGGATGATCTGTTGCCACAAGCTGCACAGGGCGGTAACACAAAGCCACGGGGTCTCCCAGGCTGGGCCAGGTTCCCAGTGCCCAAGAGATGAGGAGCGTAGGATGCCTTGTACAGGTGATTGTCACATGGCGGGAAATTCTTCCATGAAATAGACAAGTGAGACACAGTGGCAAAGACATTAAGGCCTTCCATCAAACTGCCCACACTGCTTAAAGGCACTGATACCAGCAACAGAAATACTCCGTAGTACCACCAGGGTGTTAAAAAAAAAACTCCCGAATACAAGTCTTCGTAGGAAAGTGTCCTTTATTGCATGACACGAAGCGTCCGCTCTGCTCCTGCTCAGGAATAGAAGGGCCTCCCTTTCTCGGGGGTCTGGAGTCTGTTCAGCCTGGCAACCTGAGACGGCGAGGGGGGCACGTCCTGCCGGAATGGCCCCTTGGCAGGGATGTGACTGGGGTCCTGGACTTTCTTATACGAATCATAGTTGTTGAGCCCCTCGGGGGCCGGAGGTTGCTTCTTCATCTGCTGCTCCTTCCGCCTTTGCTCCTGGCGGAGCAGCTCCTGGGTCTCCAGCATGACCCTGGCGTTGAAGCCGTGCCCGCCCAGATAGCCGTTCCGGGAACCTTGGTAGCTCGAGTACCTGGGGTTCTCCTTGGCACTCTGGAAGCCTTCCCCGGGAGGGTAGTTCTGCTCCCAAGAATCCTGGGAGACAGAGCTGGCGTTCTTCCTGCTTTGCCTAGGAAGCAAAGCCCAAGGTGAGTGTGAGTGTTGGGAAAAGGGGAGGGAGGGAGACGAAGGGGAAGGGTGAGGGGGTGGTGGTGTGGGAGCCAGAATAGCATTGCTACATCTCAACAAACATCACAGTGAGTCCTCTATATATGAACCTTAAGTCATGAACTTTCAGACATGCAAGCGCGCATTCGTGTGTCCAATCACGGAAGTTAGTTCCCGTGTCCCGCGTACATTGTCATGTGCTTGCATCCTCTGTAAGTGGTTACGCTTTTATGCACTTTACTGTGCAGTACTGTAGAGGGTACGGTAGTACAGTCTCTTTACTCCAAATCCAGGATCTACGCAGACATCCCTGGATCATTTTGTCAAGAGAGTAGATAGAACTGAATCGAGCAAGGAACCAGGACCTGTGCCATCAATGCCAGGCATGAGTGAAACTGCAGCTTGCCCTCCTATTGCCGATGACCCTTCAGCTCTGCCACCTCCCACCTCGTCTCGCTCCTCCAGTCACTAACTCTTCTTGCCTGTTCATTCAATGCCAGCCCCTGTATGCCAGCTGTCGTACTGGACTAATATAGTTTTCAAGGTACTGCACTCTAAGAGTAAAAATGTTTTCTTTATTTTCTGTGTTTGTTGTTTATGTATTATTCGTATGAAAAGTATTCTAAACTTATTCCAGTACATTACTATATAGGCAATTGTGTTAGTCAGGTACCTGGGCTAACTTTGTTGGACTTATGAACAAATGAGGACTTTCAAATGCACTCTCAGAATGGAACTCATTCATATGTTCCCAGTAAGGGGACTTACTGTATTTGGCTTCAGCTGATTCTCAGACATTGTGATAGGAGCTGAAGGATGAAAACGTGACTGACTCCGGCAAGCTCAAGTCTGAGACAGGTCTGCATGGACAATGGCTGCATAGGAGAGACACCAAACAGATTCCACAGCTACTCAGAAACAGGGTTTTCCTTCTGTGTCTGGGAGGGTGCGATCTGTTCTGCTTAGGGTAACAACATATCCTGCAATTTAGACTCATTGGCAGGATGCTCTATAGGGGTATTAGAGATTTGGCAGCTTCTGTACCAGCAATAATTGCTCGCTTTACAACATTACAATTCAATTCTAAACAAGCCAAACAAATATTTTACACAGCTGCCACCCTCATGCCAGAGATGCTAGCTAATATGCAGTACATGGAATGGATTACAATGTGACTTCAGTTATGAAAGATTTAAGTCTAGACTCCTCTATGATTAAAAATGCAACAGGCAGTCCCTTAAAGCCCTGGCATTCGAGTTATATATGTCAGCAACTGACAACCTCTGGAATACACGCTTATCAAGATTGCAGAACCTGGGTGTGTGAGGAGTAAGCACTATTTTCTGCCCACAGTATCCTCATCCAAGGCCAGGGTAACTTACTCATATTCTGTCACCCCGAGATGGGGAAATAAATCAGAGACCTATAGAAATTTCAACTTCTTATACTTTCTGCAATAAAGTTGCACATCATTTTCAGGAAACATTATTGTTTCGAAACATCTTTAATTTACTATCAGGTCTCTAGATGCTTTTATGAATTTACAATAAGATTGGCTATGATAAAGTAAAACAATTTTGTGCCAGAAAGACAGACATACCCTAATTTTTTCGCCTTGAAAATGGAAGAGAGGGAGTGAGAATTGAGTCATAAAACAAAATATATTGCTCCATTTATCAATAAAAAAATGATTCAGTGACAGTATGTATTGTTCAGCCTTTCACATCAACACACACAACATGACAGAGTGTTCAAAAAGACTCGGGTAGGGGAAAAGTAAGGTCTATGCAGCATTGGGTCTCCCATAGGAATCAAGCCATTTGCATTTCTGAACATTCAGAAGTGCCATCAATATGTTGGGATGCAATCTGCCCATTTTCCATATGACCTAAAATGTAGTCAAGGGTATTCTCAATAAGGAAGATGAACTACTGTTCAGAATCATCTCTGGCAATGACTGTTTAATGATGAATTAAACAGTCTAAAGTATATTCATCCTTGTAATGGGAATCAGGCCATGGGTACAATCAGCTCAGGCAAGAATCCTTAGATTTGATGGAATAGTTTATTTGCCTAAAGCACTGATTATCTCCACTTAAAGAGTCATAAATTAATCTGCTCAGAGCCGTGAATGATGGAAAGTGCCAGCATGAAACCAAGGGATTTGATATTAATCATGAAACTTTAATTAAAACAACAAACTTGTTACTGATGTTACAGCAACAACATGGGATTCTTTCATGGGTTAGCTATCAATTTAAGGATAACTGGAGATAAGCTTCTTCAATCTTGGTCCACGGGGATCCACTAGCCCTGTTCATTCTGGTCCCCAGCTGCACGAAGCCTGAGGCTTTGCTCCACATGGTCACAGACCAGAAGTTGAATCAGTCCAGGAAGGCAGAGTTTTTTTGTACTAGGACACATTGAAAATTCATTAACAGTTTGTTTGGGATGGAAATTATGAACATGGGAAAAAAAATTTCTTGTAGCTAAAATTTTCTTCAGATTAAGCAGTTTAGAGAGAAGGAAGAAAACCTCCCAGAAGTTTGAAGTAAGACATGTGGGGAAAGTTCATACACACAGATGTGTACATGTGGACACATGTACATACATACACACACTACCTTGGAAAGAAAGCTAGTGTATCAGCAAGCTCTTGATTAAAGAACAGGACAAGAAATGAACAGGTTGTAGAGAAACATGAGAAAACAGCAGACAGTAAGTTTCCTCCACCTACTGGAAGAGGCACGAGGCACTGTGGGAGACCGGCTGGGTGCCCCAAGGGCATAGATCCCTGGGTCTGCACGAGCAGCCGTGAGCCTGGGAGGGTTCTCAGGGTCTCTAAGAACCTCAGGGTTCTCAGGGCCTCAGGCTCAGGTGGGCTACTCTGGGCTCAGGTGGCTTCATCAATGCAACAGGCAGAATCTCTAATCTCATGGGATTATGGGGAGAAATTTTAAAAAATCACTTCTGTAAAATGCTCACAAAAGTGTAGCAAGCATATGCAGGTCAGTGACTTTGCCTCCAATGATTAGGCTCTGAGTTTGGGGGGAGCATCTTTCTGACCAAGGGAAAAAAATAAACAAAAATATTACCATTTTGTCCTTTGGGATGGAAGGGTTGGTAGAGATCAAGGAACAAAGAAAGGCACCAAAGACAAACTGGAGAACCTTCACTCGGAGAAGCAACTCACAAACACGTCCCAGAGTGAGAACCAGAAGCAAGCCTTCCACTGTCCCAGGGCTGCTCAAAGGCTACCAATAACACGGGAGCAACAAAGCATCATTCCTCCCAGTGAATCTCTTTACAACCAATACACAGGTTTGTTGGGTCCTGGAATGAGCTCGCTGGAGTCACCGGAGGCCACCCAAAGCCCACACCCTCGTTTGGCAATAATTGCCTCTTAGTGACTGTGTCTGAAGGCCACCCTCATGTAGAGGACACCCAGAAAAGCTCCCGCACCTGAGGAAAGCTGTCAGGCATCACGTTGAAGAGGACACAGAAGGATGAAGACAGACAGACCTGGGCTGGCAAGGTGACAAATAGTGGAGACACGTAATAAATGGGCCTGGTGGGGAGACTGAGTCAGGGCATGGAGACATAACCAGGAAGCAAGGCGGATGAGCAAGAAGCCACCAATGGCAGGAGGAAACATGGAGAGGAAACAGACGGTGGGACAAAGGAATAAAGTAAAACATCCCCAAAGGGTCTTGAACACACTTTTTTATCAGTGACTATGACCCAACCTACTTCTACTGCTCAGATTTAGAACTGCCTTTTGGATACTAGAACTTCTATGGTAGCTCACACTGTAAAGAACCTGCCTGCAATGCAGGAGACCTGGGTTCGATCCTTGGGTTAGGAAGATCCCCTGGAGAAGGAAATGGCAATCCACTCCAGTATTCTCAACCTGGAGAATTTCATGGACAGAGGAGCCTGGTGGGCTATAGTACAGGCGGTTGCATAGAGTCGGACATGACTGAGCGACTAACACTTTATAACACTTTGGATACTAAGGAATAAAGCTAGAAATTTTAAAAAGGATTTGAAAAAAGAGAGTAAAACAGAAAAAACAAAACTAATTTAGGAATTAAAAAAAAAAAAAATCCACTTCCAGTTAAGAATTGAGTGTTGGGCCGCTCAGGTCTCCTTTCCTCACTGATCTCACATTACCACCTGGCTAGTGTTTCTCACTGACATTTCACAGCGGAACCTGAATTCAGCCTATAGGTTTCCCTAATCACGGCAAGACTTTACAAACCCCTCTGGCACGTATATAGCCCTCTAATTCAAACCACCTCATCTAGCATGCCTGATCCCAAGTCCTGACCATTTGTTTTCTTTTATGCTCCACTTTGCAACTGAACTCTGTGTGTGTGTGAAATCTTTTTGGTATCAAATGCCACGGTGACTTGTTTAGACCAAACTCTGTCAATTGTCCATATCCAAAGAGCAGAGGTCAAGTGTCTTTGAAAAATATCACATGTCAGAAACTGGGATTTGCTTCCAGTTCATGGGGGTCACAGCCCCCCTCAACCTCCCTCCAGCCTCAAGCTGAGTGAGGTGGCTCTGCAAGGAACCAAGCTGCCTGCAAGACCCCGAGTTTCTAATTTCCTCAATCAGAGGTGCACATGGAGGAGTTACGGTTGACCCTTGAACTGTGTGTGTTCGACCGCATTAGTCCACTTATACGTGGATATTTTCCAATAATGAATACCTCAGGACAACACGTCTGTGGTTGGTTGAATCTGAGGATACACAGAAGCCACGGATAGAACCACGGATGTGGAGGGCCGACTACAGTAAGTCCCCTATATACAAACGGGTTCCGTTCTGAGAGCGTGTTCACGAGTCCAATTTGTTCGTAAGTACAACAAAGTAGGCCTAGGTACTCAGCTAACACAATTGGCCCTATAGTGCTGTACTGGAATAGGCTTATAATACTTTTCACATAAATAATATATAAAAAACAAACACACGAAATAAAGAAATCACTTTAAATCTTACGGTGCAGTACCTTGAAAAGTACAGTAGCTTAGCACAACAGCTGGTACACAGGGGCTGGCATGGAGTGAACGGGCAAGAAGTTACTGATGGGAGGGGGGAGAGGAGGTGGGAGATGCTGGAGCTGAAGGGTCATCAGCAACAGGAGACGGAGGGCAAGCTGCAGTTTCACTCACGCCTATCGTTGATGGAACACATGTTTGCATCTTTGCACAACTTGAAGATTTGTATGTAGGGGACTTATTGTAAAAGTTATACGCAAATTACCCCCCCACCCACCCACCCACACACCTGTACTCTCTAAAAGGAGTGAATCGGGTATAGAAGTCGACCAGCCCCGCACACCTAAACTCACGGCACTCTTTCTTTTTAAGGTTTCTACTATTCTCCTATCCGCACAGAGTAAAATGGCTAACCAGAAGGGAGCTGCAGTTGATCAAAGGGCAAGTTCTGGCTCTTAGGGGATCACTGACTGATGGGCAGCAAACCTCAGGACTATGGAATCACAGGTGCTTCAGAGGAGAGGTGGGAGGGAGGCGTGGGGTGGGGTGCAGGAAACATGCAGAGGGGTGCACCAGGACAAAAGGATCAGTTTGGAGGACCGAACAGCTTTGGGAGGTGAGCAGGAGAAACCCGGTGGATGCACTTGCTTCTCTCTTGTCCTCTTCCCAAGGAAGGAGCCCCAGGTCTCCTCCCATCTTCCCGCCAGGCCCTCCCACCCCAGTCCCTCCTCCTACCCTTCCCCAGTCCTGGGCATTTCTCTTCTCACTTCTTCTCACACACTTTATGAGAGCTCTCCCCCATCCCTTAAAAAATAATCTCAAACACAACTAAAATACAGGAAGCCAAACATTTGGCCAAGAAGACCATAGCCCCTTGAGCTTTTATACTAGTTACACCTGTCCTTTTGGAGAACTCTAGATTTACGAGGTCCATTTATGCTAGTTACCCCTGAGCTGTGCAAAGTAAAAGTTCTTTTTCCATTTCTCAGCGGAGGAATCTGTCTCCGGCCCCATGGGAGGACGCAGAACAAACACCAGATCCCAGGTCTGACCCCTAAGCCCCATCTTTGTGGGGAGCAGGTCACTTCACTTCCCAGGAGGGAGCTGTCAGCTGGGGATGCTGGCATCTCCTGAAACACCTTCCTGCCTGGTCCCCCGGCCAGGCGGTGGTCCGGCCAAGTAAGCCACAGTTCCCACCATTTAAGAGCGGTTCCTCGGAGGTGGAAAAGCCAGTGCACTGGGAAGGAGGATTTCCCAAGGGACAGGGACGGGGAGCGGGGGCGGGGGGTGTGGCTCGTACCGGGGCAGCGAGCTGTACTGGCGCTGGGCCTGCTGGAAGCTCTCGCGCTCCTCCTGCCGCTGCCGCTGCATCTGCACCTCCACCGACACCGAGTGTCGCCCGCTCTGCGCGGACGGCCTGGAGTTGGGCTGCAGGAGGGAACACAGCACAGGTCACAGGAAAGGAACTCCGGACAGCACAGGGCTCGGGGACTATTTCAGTTCTCAGAGACTGGCGCAGAAACAATATGTGACTTCCGTGAGCTTTTAAAAAATCAAGTGCAGCTTTCTCAAGAGGCACCTTTTTTGGTCTTGTCAGCCCCAAATACCCCATCACCCTAAATTCTAATTACGGCCTTAGGATGGTTTAAAATTGAGAGATCCACCTTTCTAGTCTGCCTAGCGAGGCTTGGTAAATACAGACATTAGACACTACTTTACATCCCTTGCATAGACAGCAAATAGAGGGGAACAACCCTTCTCGGAAGACTAGGATAGTTTGTGGGAAGCTGCTGTACCGCCCAGGGGGCACAGCTCGATGCCCTGTGATGACCTGGAGGGGCAGGATGAGGCGGGGAAGGGAGCCAGGAGGGAGGGGACATATGTATACACATGGCTGACTCACTGCCTGTACCACAGAAACTAATACAGCACTGTAAAGCTACTATAGCCCAATTTTAAAGGAGCCAAAAATATAAACATTTGCTTCAATAATTCACAACAGTGGGAAAGTCCCAGGCTGTACACTGGAAGGTTGGCCATGCTGGTGAAGCTTTCAGTAGTTACGCATCTTAGTCTAGCAGTAGGATGCAATGTGGCTGATTTTCCTTTTGTTAAAGAACGACAGTTAAATTTTGAACTGAGATTAGCTGAAACTAGACACAGTTCACCATATACAGGTCTTCTAATCCACTGTGGTAGCCACATGTGAACAGAATAGCTTATCCAAAGAATAAACCTGCAAGCTAATAGCTCCTGGGATTGGTTGTGAAATAATACACTTTGCCCTAGTTATTAAGAAATGGCATTTTTACCCAGGTTAATTATATGCTACAGAGAAACAGTCAATCCTTCTGGCTAAACACTTCATGCAGCAGGTCGTCTGCTGATAGCTGCCGCTGACCGGAACCAGATACTGGGGGAGTGTATGGTGCTGGGCCATTGTGCGTGCTTTACCTTCGAACCAATGGCTTTGAGCTCACCTTTACGATCTAGCATTTTGAAAGCAGCTCCACTCACAATAGGCAACAATGCCTCTAACTTTACAAACACCCGTCATAGCCATCAATGGCACGCACTCTTAAGTAACCCTTTTTGGCACTCACCAACCTCTCTCCCCTTTGAGTTATGCAACATTGTGCAATAGGTTTATTCCAAACAAAGAATGTCTGTGATAAACAAGTTATTGATTTTTTTTTTTTTTTTAGAGCTGAAAGCCAATAGCAGACTTGGACTCGATAATCACTTTCTAAAATAATACGAGTCTCAGCACTCATTTGGAGCCTAGAAAGATAACACGTAGGCTTGTTCCTTAAAGAGTGGCTCTTCTGGTGGCTTTTGTGCAAAGAGAAAGGCAGTAACCTCTATTGTCCCCTTTCTGCCTGGCCAGCATATCCCATTTGTTGGTAAGCAATAATGAAGCAATATGCAGGACAAAATTTCAAAGCATATGGGCATCGTCAGCGAACATATTAAAAATATCCCGATACAAAAATAATATGTGAAGAGATTAGACTTTACGATACCCCAGTCTCTCCTAGTGGATGTTTATAACCACACACATTGGAACAAATGTGTGTTCGGAGACCCACTCCACAACACAGTTCAAATAACATCCATGGTGCCTTCAGTAAAGAAAACATGTTGCTGAATGAGTTCTGCTTATGCAAACAAAGCATGAAGCAATTGTTCGTCAACAACATTAAGGAGACAAACAGTTTCTCCCATGACCCTGGACGAGGCTGGCCCAGAACAGTGCTGGGGTCATCTGTTGTTGGTAGGGAGCCCGGGAAAGCGCCAATGGACAGGAAAAGTGAAGCAAGAAAATATGCCTTCCCATTTTCGTTTCCTTTACACTCAGTCTAAGCTACACACATGTGTCAAATAGTCTTGAAAGACCTGGCATTCTGCTGCAAGATTTACTAACCAGCTTTTCAAGCTCACGCTGTTCTGTGACATGCTGCTTGTGGAGCTGTGAAAAAAAATGCAAGGTCTTGTAGAAATTTCAGGTGTATTTTTAAGTTGCTTCTCCCAGAGGCCTGAAAATTTGATACTGATGGAGGGAAGAAAAAAAGTTGAAGGGCTTTGTGTTTTCTGGGACTGTTCACCTCCAACCTTATCAGTGGCATATCTCAGTGCATCTGGATGAATCCCAGTAATGAAATTATCATCGAGTGGGATCTGAAAACTTAGAATGAGGGAAGGAGTCTGGAATCAGCAAACTGACAGATTTCATTGTTTGCTTCACTCTGATGAAATACACACCCCAGCCTTGCTATTAATATTTTACTCTCTCTCTTCAGGTTATTAGAAAGAATCACCCTTATCTTTAGGATGAAAGTTGACTGGGCCACAGATTTCCAGGGAGATTGTGTGCATGATGGGCCCAGAGCAACAGCGAAAGAAGTTCTTCCTGGCCAGTTCTCTACTTGGGCTGCATCAAAAATAATTGGATTCATGATTTCAATGAAGATCTCATAAAAATGTGAATTGTGGAAACGGATTACCACCAGGAACCCTGACTTTAAGACACTGGAGTTTGTGGTTTCCATCCCAATGACAGAAATAGAATGAAACAGCAGAAATGGAAATATCTAGAGTCCAAAATCACAAAAATAAAGACAGAAATGAAGAAAGAGATCATGTGTAACCCCAGCGAGAAGGGCATGTTTTCAGATAAAACAGTAACAGCAACTACAGTGACAAAGCAACATCTGTATAGGGAAACATATAGGCAAAGCATAATTGTGATGATTCTAGAGATTCACCAGATAACAAGACAGCAGCTCTGTTTTAACAGAGCAAATTATAGATAACCTTGGCCTTGTTTGTGATGAAACTGGTGACAAGCAATGACCTTTGAAGGAAAAAAATAGCCAAGGTTGCCACAGCCATAATAATGATAGAGGTTGTAAGACAGAAGTAAATACATGATTATCTCTTACACAATAGCTGGAGAACCACAGATACATGACTCTCTTCATGGCTTATGTTTAAAAACCACCAGTCAAGACTATGCAGGTTGCTTTTGTAAATGAGCTGTAAAGTACTGGTGTTTATCATGATTATGAAGAGATACTATTTATATTATATTTAAAAATTACATAAAACTTTGAAAGCTGCACAATTTTGGTATTACTTACTAGCGTAGAACAGAATGTGAAAGTCTCTTCTGTGGACTATTTCAGTAAATTAAGAAATGCTTCAGCAGTTCTCTCCATTAAGTAAAACCATCCTTATTTTTCCAAATTAAAAAAGACAATACAGAAAAATAAAAATACAAAGCCCAAACTGTTAATATACTAAAGAAAGAACAAAAATAAATATACACCTTACAAGTTTCAGAACTGATCAGAACTAGGTGATATCATAAGACTTTTAGAGCTTCATGTAAAAAATGTGCCCCATGAATAAAATTCATTAGTTCTATTAACATGTACATAAAGCATTTAATAATTTTTAAATACACTAATTTTTCTTCTTATAGATAAGAAAAAGCATGTAAGGATATGTGTGTGTGCTTTTGTATGTGTTCATGCATACACATATATGTAATAGTCTTATAAGTGATTGTTTGGGGGAGGGTTTTCTACTTAAATTATGAATAACAAAAATCTTCAGCTCTGTAGTGGCCTAGAAGGGATAGCTGTGGGGAGTGGGAAGGGGTATGTGTGTACATACAGCTGATTCATGTTGTTGTACAGCAGAAACTAACACAATATTGTAAAGCAGTTATTTAAAAAAATTTTTTTTCCAAATTTTCACATATGTCCAGGGCATGGAGAGAAAGCAAAACTAAAATACAAAAAGTCTGTGCGCTTTGGATGAAAACCTGTGATGAAGATGATGCGGACAGTGAAGATGAAAGTGGTAACACAAAAAACAATGATATCCCTTGAGATTTAACGCTCTCGTTTTCGCTTTCAGATATACTGTGATCCTAGTATGAATTCCATGTTCCGCTAACAAAAGGTCACTGAATCATGGTAAGGGTGTAAGTTTTGGACTCTGTTTAAAAGTGGCCACTGCTAACACTGGTAAATGATTTTCTGCTGTGGACTTAATTGCCAACTTCTAATCCAAACAAAGTTAACTTTTGTCTCTGGATCCTATCTTCGCAGCCCTCCTCCCCGCTACCCATCACACACTGTACTGACACAGCCATCGATTGAACTCTGTGGGTTCTGAATGTTGAAAAGCTTAATTGCTACTAATGATGTGAGTAATGGTTGAAAAATGGCAGTGAATACCAATTTCCCTCATCAAGATTTTATAAATATGTGTTTTGGTCTTAACACACTATTTGTCTTCTTCTCATCTTTCCCAACCAGGGCTGGGGTCTGGCTTCCCGTCTGAATCAGCAGATAGGTTGAAAATAAAGGACCAGCCCTCCAGCGTCGCTGACGGGAGGCGGGCAGCCTCACGCACTTCTCCACCAGAGGGCTCCTTGGGTATTACAGCCCTTGGGTCATGGGACTCCAAGAAAGAGGGCTGCTCCGCAGCAGCACAAGGACACCCTTCCACGGCTCCAGGGCACCTCTTTGGCTCCCTCCAGGTGGATTTCCAAGGGAGGTGATGTCCACCCAATGTGAACTGGAGTCAGACTCCACACAGTAAGACTGTCAACTAAGAAGGAATTTCCTGAGTCCAGGCGTGGAGGCCCACTAGAAGGGGATGACAGCAGACGCCTTTAAAGTCTTAAGAAAGAGGAAGACAAAAAAGAACCATCATTTCCTCAAACTCCCCTGGTCCAGGGAAGGCAGTCTAGGGGTGCAGGATGGCTGTGCAGTCTGACCAGCCCTCTAATTAAAGCAGGTGAAACACTAAAATGTTAAGAGGAGCCAATCAAAGTCCAAGGTAGGGACTGCTCTGATGGTCTAGTGACTAAAACTCTGTGCATCCAATACAGGGGTCCTGGATTGAATCTCTGGTCAGGGAACTAGATCCCACAGGCCACAACTAATGACCCTGCATGCTGCAACAAAGATGGAAGATCCCAAGTGCTGCAACTAAGACCCGGCATGGCCAAATAAATAAATAAACACTTAAAATAGAAGTTTCTTTAAAATCAAAAGTCCAAAGTAGGAAAATGAAGAAAGGAGCAGCTTTTGTTTTATTTAAGGACAGACAGCTAGGAAGAAAGCTTGGGGGAGAAGAGGATTTTCACATTGTGGAGGATCAATTTTCTATCTGAAGGACTAAACTACTTTCAGCCCCTACCCACCCAGGATGGAAAGGATTTAGCAATAGAGCTATTAAAGGCTCCATTATCCCATCCATCACCCGTCTCAGTCACTGAGTCTGCTTGTGGGCAACAGTCAGGTATCTGCAAAGTTTTAACAGCATACTGTACTTAGGTCTGCAGCCTGCAATTTAATTCTTTTAAAAGCAACACACTAAGTCCTGTCCATATCTGAGCTCTGTGATAATAACCCTAACCTCAGCTATTGTTCCATTATCTTAAGAAAGATTTAAAGCAACTTGCTGCTTTATTTATGCTGCACCTGGCACTACGTGGGGAAGAAGTTGCTTTTCCTGCTGCTGCTTCTTTTACTCAACTTGGGAGATAACTCACTTCAATTATGGAGCTACGGAAATTTTCTAGGCCTCTGCTCATCTAAAGACCTTTTGTGCCAAAAATCAGCGCCCTCCAGCCCAAATGTTATTTTGAACAAAAGCCCGGGAACAGGTGCATTCTGTGCTGCTAGAGTCAAGAGAACAGTTTGAAAAATGGAAGAGTTAAAAAGGACCACTTGGAGGAATCTTCTGTAGCATCTCTCTCTGTGTGTGAAGTCTTTGGCTTGGGTATTTTTCTGTATGATACATCTGACTGCACTGCACGTGTGGGCATTTCCAACAAGAAGGACAATTTCAGCTAATATGGTCTAAGTTGTACCCACAGTTTGAAGATGTGCTTATGGCTCCTTAACACTAAAATGATTACAAACAGTTCCAGTAGGTGAGATCATGGTTTCATCTTTTCCAAATACAGTGATCTTTCAAGGTCAGAATATATATGAGAAGAGAATAAACAGTCCAAAATACTCAAAACTCTTTTTGTAAAACAGATAATCAACACCATAGACCAAGCTACATTCTGAACAACTGAGCAGCTCTTCCTAAGGCAACAATGAGAATTGGTATGAAAATTAACACACTACATAGAATTACAGTCACTTGAAGCTCATTTACCTCATCTATAGAATGGGGAATACCCAGCAAGATCCCAACTGTTTGAAAATGAAAAAAAAAAAAAATAATAATAATAAGTCAACTTTTGACCCACAATTTAGGAAATTATTCCATTCCCAAGGTAATCAGCCTGTCATCCAAATAATTCCCTGCTCAATAGGAAAAGACCCTATTGAGCCAAGCCAAGTGGTCCATCTGAAGTTGCTATGGCACTTTTGATACACAATAATTTGGTCTATGAACTTCAGTAGTTGAGTTTCCTAATGTATAAGATAGTCGCAGACTTCTAACATGATTGCTCATATTCAACAGGCAACATAGAAATATATGCCAAAATGTTCATGTCCTACATTAAAAAGAAAACTTACAAAGATATCAAATGGATACCAAATTGTTGCCACATTTCTCAGTACAAAACTTCTAGAGCTAAGGAATAGGAAATGCTTATTTTGCTTCCAACAAACATGTAGAGCTTTCATGTGGACATGATGTTACTATCCAGAAATAATTCCAATTAATTTTAGGTCCCAAAGATGGGCTCCTCTGTTTCTCAAAGTTATATATTTGAAATACCTTCCAACTTCAAAGATGTGTTCTTTCAAACTTTTTGTGCACAGCCACAACTAATTTGGGTGTGCTTCCCTTGTGTTCAAATGCCCCTGCTTTTCCCTACCAAGACTGCGTGCAGCATTCCTTTTTTTGTATCAACTCGATTCTACGATTCTAAGGGCTTTCTTTCTTTGTTTTCCCGAGCCAAACACAATAATAAACAGAACATAATGAACACTCAAGAAATTTGATGAGTTAAATAATTAATTTTAGAATAAAACATGCTGCTTGGAAATTCACATGCCCAGGGAAAGTAAAATGGCACAACGCTGCCCCCGCTGGGCTGCAGCGCTATAGAGCTGGGGGTGTGAGAACCATTTCCACATGCCTATCCCTCCAGGTTGCACGGCCTCATTCTTCCTTTCAGCACCTTTGTGAAAATATACATAGTTAAGGATGTTTATCCCACAACACACAGAGGTCCGCTTTAAGAAGACTAACAGGACTAGGTTGAGTCATTAAGTCCAACAATAGGAGTAAATGAACATGATTCCATCCTGGTGCTACATGGGAATGGCTCATTTTACTCACCATCTAGGAAAATAAACTACATACTATTAACAGTGACATGGTTGCAGAGGACAATTAGATTTCCATAGGTATTTACGTGCTTTATAACCTCTTATATCAGCTACCATTGATTTCTTCCAGGACGCAGTTCACATATTGTCTCTTCTAAGGCCCTCATCTTCCTCACCTGTACCAAGGGAAGGTCCTTCAAACTGGGATGACTTCTTCAGTTTTCCCTTCTTTCATTTACAAAACGAGCAATCTACAGACTCCAACTTGATCACCAAATTCCAGATCATAATGTCTAGGGTTTCTGGGTTTCTGGCTTTGTGTGGAGTGTACTAACCATGCTGGATTTTAGGTCCAAAGAGGACCTCAGCAATGATCTAAACTCTGGAGCAGTGCTTCTCACAGATGGTCCATGGACCACACTTGGAGAAGCTCTGAACCATGGCTGCAGTCACCTGGGTCCATGGAGACCTCTGTATGCAACCTGAGGAGCTCTACTGATATCTGCTTTACACACCCAGCTTCCTTTTAAATGTTTATTCTAAGAAAAGGTTTACTAAGTGACACTCAATCAGCTACTCTAATCCCCTTGGTTTACAAATAAGAAAACTGATGCCTGGAGACAAACATTAAAATTATTTTCTGACCTGGCTAGTGGGCCAGCGTTCTGTTCGATACCATCCACGTTCAGACTTTCCAACTAGCGTGGAAAGCTCCTACCATCTTCCCGTCTTCGTCTCTCCTTCCCTGCAATGTGGCCACACTCAGTTCTATGCCAGCCTTTTCTCATTCTCCCAAATATTGAGTGTAATCATATTCCTGACACAGTGAACTGAACTCATCCACTTTTGGGACCCTAATCACTCCTGTGCTTTAGGAGTTTACATGCATGGATGGGACACCTTTGATCCCAACACCATCCAGATGTTCCAAGACTCCAAAAACACACTCTTTGGACCACAGCCTCCTAGGCTTCATAATCCTAGACTACTGATACCCCACCCCAACTCCAGAATCCTCCCGGGCTATCAGGCTAACACCTCCCTGAGCTGCACTGACCACCTGCCCAGATGTGGTAGCGCTTCACCAGCATCCTCCCCAGGCTCTCCTTCCTTGATTTTCTGCCATGTCTGTCTTGCCATTCCTCATCATGGAATTAATCTAAAAAAATTATTTTTCTAAATAACAAGGTCCTACTATATTGAACTCTATTCAATACCCTGTGATAAGCCATAATGGAAAAGAATGTTAAAAGAATGTATAAAACTGAAGAATACAGCAGAAATGAACACAACACTGTAAATCAACTCTACTTCAATAAAATAAATTAAAAATAATTATTTTCCTATTCCCAGCCCTTTAAGGGTTGTTGGCTATGATCCCACCACCATGTGGACTAGACCTAACTAACACATTACTTCAGCTAGATTTTCCTGCCTCCAGCAGCCTATTTACTCATTTCTAATTACTTCTCTCCCTCAAGTTTTCAAGGTGTCTTCACAATTCCCATCACCTTGAACCCCCAAATCTGCTTCAACACCTCCCATCTGCACATGGGCTATCATCTCCAAGATAAAACACAAGGTCAGAGCTCAAGTCTGGGGCTGGATTGGGGAGGATTAATTAGCCTGCCACACTGTGGAATCTGGACTTATCTTGGGGGCATTGAGAAGCCCATTCAAAAACTTTGCTGTAGAAAGACCACTCTGGAGGCTTTGGGAAGAAGAAATGGAATTGAGCTACAGGCAGATACACGGTGGGGGTTCAACAAATACACATAGGGGATGGGGGTGAATCAAGAATCTCTAAATACTGTACTTTGTGCAGAGTAGATACATCATAGATACAGAGAACTAATTTATTTAGGCTCTGATTCTCAGAAAAATGTATACAGAAAATATTTAGTAAACTTTAAAAAAGGCATAGTTGCGAGTCAGAATATTCCTGCTGTCTTGTCATCAGGCAAACGAAACCTATTATGCAATGGACAGATGGTGCAATAAGATATAAAATGAAATTAGCAATGATGCAACCCAGAAGGAAATGAGGAAAAAGGTCAATATGCTAAAGGTCAAAGGAATTTGGCTCCATCTTGTCTCGTTTTGTAAAGGTCTGAGGTCACAGCTATTAATGGCTTTTACCACAGGGAAGTTGTAGGACTTCCTACAACTGTGTAGAAGCACCAGACACTCACCCAGGGTTGTTCAAAGCTATAGGTACGTCTCCGATCCTCCACGTCTTCATCCTGTTTTGCTTGCTGAAATTCTTGCCGGAGACGCTGTATCCGATCATGGTTGCTAGGAGTTGATCTGTTGCTGAAAGACAAAATGGGCAACAATGAACACTCTTCAGAAATACAATCTGTGGATGGCAGTTACTAGGGAAAAAATGGCAGCTTGCTGTGAAATGGTGCTGTTTGGGAGGAAGTGAAATTTTAAGACTATATCTAGGCATTTCAAATCTGTGTTCATTTTGTTCTTATGATTAAGACTTATGGAGGTGATTTCAGGCAGATATTCAAGACGGTGAGCAGTATTTTTAGACATTCCTTTTTTACGCAGCTCTTTAAAAGCCTCATTTCCTCTGTAATCTGGTAAGGTGTTGGCAACAACAATAGTTTAGAAAGGACACTGCATGAAAAATCATAAATACCAAGGTCCTCTACCTTCTTGGAATAAGACACAGTGCCTCTGGGCTGTGGCTTCTTTGTATACAGAAAGTGCACATAAGAATTCCTTCTGCTCCAAATATCACAGTTGTAACAATCAAGTGAGATAATGCCATACATTATAGCCTCACAAACATGCAGTATTATTTACATAATGCCATTATATAATGTTCTTATTTATGAGTTATCAGAGGTCTAAACACAAAAGCTAACACTCATAGCATAAACAAAAAACAGTTTAAAAACAACTTCAGGTGGTAGTTGAATTGAATGAATAAGTTAATAATATTGTTGCCTGAATTTTGATAACTTTGAATTCTGTTTTATCCTCACAGAAAGCTTATAAGATAGGTGCAGAAGGTAGTATTTCATACACACATGCGCGCGCGCACACACACACACACACACACACACACACAGATATAAACTGCCATTCAGAGAAGATAAGGAACTTGTTTCCAGTCTTTCCCTGGCCAGTTGGGAAAGCTGAGACTAGAATTCAGAATTTTCTAGCCACTCTCAGACAGGGAAGAATCTGCCTGCAATGCAGAAGAACCAGGTTCAATCCCTAGGTCAGGCAGGTCCCCTGGAGCGGAGCATGACAACCCACTCCAGCATTTTTGCCTGGAGAATCCCTCGGACAGTGGAGCCGGTCGGGGACCCTACAGTCCATTCAGTTCAGTCGCTCAGTCGTGTCCTACTCTTTGCGACCCCATGAACCACAGCATGCCAGGCCTCCCTGTCCGTCACCAACTCGCAGAGTCCACCCAAACCCATGTCCATTGAGTCGGTGATGCCATCCAACCATCTTATCCTCTGTTGTCCCCTTCTTCTCCTGCCCTCAGTCTTTCCCAGCATGAGGGTCTTTTCCAATGAGTCAGCTCTTTGCATCAGGTGGCCAAAGTATTGGAGTTCAGGGTTGCAAAAAATTGGACATGGCTGAAGTGACCGAGTATGCACAAATCAATCTTAAATCTCACGGTGCTTTTGGTCAATTCCATTCCCTTAGCACAAAATCACATCCAATCCAGACAGCTACTCAAGCACATTTGGTACACAGTTTTCCAATGAAACTTTAGATTTCTTGAGGACAAGAACCAAGTATTATATTTATCACATATACCCTCCAAGCTTGTGGCAGAATGGGAAGCTGTCAGCCAACAGAAGGATGGGTCCCTTCATGGAACATACGTTGCCCTGGTTACTTAGAGCAGATCTGACTTCTCTTGGCCACACAGCTCCTGGGTAGTGGCATTTGTGAGGGGTAGCCTGGAAAGAACGTGTCAGAAAAGAGACTATAAAATTCTCAAACTAACATATGTCTTTGTATTATTTCACAAATTTTGAGGGACTCTAAAGGTTTGAAAATCTCAAACTGAAATGATCACATTGAGGACCATAACATGAACACCTTCTAAGAAGACAGGATTGTCTCTCTTCACTTCATCTCCTGGGTAGGTTCCTACCACCTTCATGTTTCTATTTATTTCATGAGAGTTTTTGAAATAGCCGGTTGACACATTCAATTTGATGATTTTCCCATCAATGAAAACTCATTTTCCCTTTGTTTCTCTTCTGACAAATCTTTGGGATTGATCAGCTGGAGGACATAGAAAGTTAATGCATCTGTAGGATGTGCAACTTGACACATGAGGCATCCTTCCACTGCTTCAGACTTCCCCTCTACACTCTTGAGCCTGGCAGCCTAGCAGGCTTTTAGGTCACATATACAGCATCTTATCTTGTCCCAGCAGACACATTTTCGCAGTGTAATGCCCAAACCACAGAACTCCTCACTCTCCATGGGAAACAGTGATGGTATAGGCATGTGTGTACATTCCTCAGACAAAGGCTAGGAGAGTCAACATTCATTCATCTCACTCCCTCTTTCCAGCTGTGACTCTCTTTTGTTCCTGGCTAACTTTACAGCATTTTTTTTTTTTTTGACCAGGTAGCTCAGTTTGTAGAATCTTCGTTCCCCAAACAGGGATTGAACACAGTTCCCCTGCCATGGAAAGGGGGAGTCCTAACTACTGGACTGCCAGAGAATTCCCTAAGTGTTCCTCTAATGTCCTTTCGTTCTTTCTTTTTGACTGTACTGGGTCTTCAATGCTGTGCACAGGCTTTCTCTAGCTGCAGTTAGTGGGGGCTACTCTTTGTTGTGGGTCTGCAGGCTTTTCATTGTGGTGACTTCTCTTATGGAGCAGAGGCTCTAGGCACATGGGCTTCAGTAATTGTAGCACAAGGCCTCAGTAGTTGCGGTTCGCAGTCCCTAGTGTGGGCTCAGAAGTTCCGGCACATGGGCTTAAGTTGCCTGCAGGATGTGGAATCTTCCTGGATTAGTGATCAAACCCATGTCCCCTTTATTGGCTGGTGGCTTCCCATCCACTGTACTGTCAGAGAAGTCCAACTTCACAGTTTTTACTAGAGGGATTTAGGAGGCTTGACTGATGAAGTATTTTACAAGTCCAAATAGAAATATTTTCCTATTATTTATTTTCATGTAGCACAGTTTTAACCTCATAATTATTAGGTCCATGAAGTCCAAGCCGTTGGTGAAAACAGACTTCTTCTTACTATTTGTGATTACTTGAACATACAATCTCCCAACAAGGGAAGTGGACCCAGGGTCCTTAATGTTCAATTCTAGTGACCTTCATGTTTCTCATAGGCTAAGACAAGTCCTGGAAGTCATTTCCAACCTTATTTCCAAATCTGAGCTGCTGGCAAGACCACTGTCTCACTCTCTTTTCCTCGCTTCCTTTCTTCTTATGCTCTAGAAGCAGCAGACTGACCTGCCCGAGACTAGCAAAGCACCTGGGGGTTGAAGGCTGCAGCAGTTTCCTGATGGATGGAGGTTCTCAAAGACTGGGAGCCTATTAAGCAGCCTTGGGCGATGGCAGCAGGCAGCCCGCAGGTGAGACCCTGGCTTCCGGAGATGTAATATTGCAACTGCTTAGCTCTGCCTCTTGGGGCAGGTCCTAAGCGTCAATATCTCACATCTGCATTTCTGAAGTTTTTGGTTACCTCTTCTGCCAAGAAGGCCAAAAGAAATTTGAAATGCTTATTAGCATCAGTGATGAGTTCCTGAAGACCCCAATCAACTTACATTTGGGTTCACTGCCAACTTAAAGTTGCTCATTATTATTACTTTTTGGTGAGGAATATATAAAGATATCACCTAAGTCAATCAGGTGGGTGAATAAAACAATAAAACTCTTTATGAGGAGTCAATCAGTCAATCAGTTATAATTGATTCCCCCTCATAAGGAGAGGAATCAAAGATGCTTTTTGTGCAAAAAAACCCACATAGTTTACATTCAACACTAGCATTTAGCATGTTGGTATTTATACATGTGCACACACACATGTATGTATGTGTGTGTGTGTGTATGTGTGTGAGGGAATGGGTGTATGTATTTTAAACTAAATGAAGATTTTAACAGAATCAAGAAAGCGTACATTGGATGAGACACTATAGAGATCCCTAAACCACATGTACAACCTAACCTTGACTTATACGGAACTCAGATCTTTCCCACTCAATTACCATGGGGATGTACCCTTTCCTATCAGAGGTAGATCACAGAGTGCTAAGCCTTAAAACCTTCAGATTGGACTCCTGCAATGTGCTTCACAAATGAAAGTAGCTGAAAACACCAATCCATGCCAAATGCAGCCATAATCCTATTTGTAGATAAGCATCAGAGCCCATCCTCCACCCATGCCGCACAGGCGTATATATACTCCAGCCATCTTCTTAGGTGCCCTGAATGAGGGAAAAACTTCATAACCGTGGCTCTCACCACTACACATGTCTTGTATATGAATCTCATCATCCAGAATGCTTGTTTAAAAATGCTGATTAAGACTCACCTTGAGATATTCTGAGCCAATCAATCCATCCACTGCAGGCCCAGGAATTTGCATACATTTGAAAGCACTGCAAGTGCTTTGAAAACTATGCCTGCAGGTTTCATTTGTTGCTGTTCAGTTACTAAGTTGTGTCCGATTCTGTGACCCCAGGGGCAGCAGCATGCCAGGCTTCCCCATCCTTCTGTGTCTCCCGGAGTTTGCTTAAACTCAAGTCCGTTGAGTCGATGATGTTATCCAACCATGTCATCCTTTGCCACTCTCTTCTCCTTTTGCCTTCAATTTTCCCAGCATCAGGGTCTTCTCATGTCAGATGACCAAAGTTTTAGAGCTTCAGCTTCAGCCTCAATCCTTCCAATGAATATTCAGGGTTGATTTCCTTTAGGATTGACTGGTTTGATCTCTTTGCTGTCCAAGGGACTCTCAAGAGTCTTCTCCAGCACCACAGTTTGAAATCATCAATTCTTCAGCACTCAGCCTTTTGGTCCAACTCTCATATCTGTATATGACTACTAGAAAAGTCATAGCTTTGACTATATGGACCTTTGTCAGCAAAGCGATGTCTTTGCTTTTTAATATGCTAGAGGAGGAAATGGCTACCCACTCCAGTATTGTTGTCTCAAGAAGCCCATGAACAGTATGAAAAGGCAGGCCTCATAGTTGGGACAAATTCCAGTGCATGCAGGACAATTAACTAAAGAGTGAAGGAGACCCACTGTGCTATGACAATTGGGGGAAATATGCTTGGTCTACAAAGGGAGGCCCTTACTTGGT